GGCTTTTGTTAACCAAGAAGCAAATAACTTTTAAAATCCTATGAGGACAAAAGGTTATATGGTTTTTCTTTTTTTGTATTCTTTTATTCATCAATAAAGTTTTAAAGTTTCCTTAATCCTTTTAAAATTGCCCACGGTTCTTGATTTCCTTTAGTTCTCCCAACATCACATGTGCTCTATAACACTGGGTGACTAGGCATCCCCACCCCCTCCCCCACGCTTCGCTGTTGAAACACAGTTGAAAATAAAAATAAAAGATAGAATAAAACCTAATACTCTATTGATTTTCTCATGTTCCATAGTATACTTTCTGCCCACAACTTGTCAGTCCGGCAAAGGCTAGAAGACCAGATGATGAAAGCTGACAARGGGTATCATACTAGACTTGTGAAAAGTAAGTATGCATGACTCTAAAAGGGGTTTTAAAATTGAGTTTACCTGCAAATGCCATTTCCAGAAAGTTTCCTTGTATTAGGTAACTTAATTCTATAATTTTTCAAGTTTCCTATTCCCATGGTATTTACTTATTGAAAAATGTACTATTGTAACTGATATAAAATCCATTCTAGCTTTACTGATTGAATTTTTCACTAGCTGGAATGCACAATTGAATGAGAAATGAGGATACTTACCCACTTTGGATTATAACTTTAAACTTTCACTAATATTGATATACTGCATTCATTGATATAGAAGCTGTGGGGAGGTACTATGAGACAAAGAGGAAGCTGTATTTACAGAGTCTTCCTGAAAATGAAGAAAGAACACAGCAGTTAAAATCAGAYAACAAACTGCGTTCCAGGAGGAAGAGGGTAAGAAAGCAAAGCAAAGCATTTATACTGTATGAAAACTGAAAAGGTTACTCTTGTTTTGTTGTTGTTGATTTTTTTTTATTAAACTTATTTTTGCATTTTGAAAATTAAAGAAAAAATAGAAAAGCTAAATTTAGTTAAGGATTAATTGGGTAACACACATTGAAATTGGTGACATGGGTTTACTGCTTACCTCTCAACACTGTGGTCCATGTTTGAGCAGGATAAAAGAACTGTGAGTTGAAGTTGTTTTGTAACAACTCTCTCCCTTGCCATGAAGGTTTTCTCCTTGACTCCCAGGTTTTCCTAACTCCCAGGTGGTTCAGTGTTTTACACTGTTGGTGGTCATAAGAAAAAATTGTTTTGTGTCAATGTATCGTAGTCAGCTTAATAACATTATAACATCTTTGTAACTGAAACAAGTTATTAATTCTTACAGCTTTTCACTGCAAGATGTAAAGTTGCAGATGGGGAAGATCTCAACCTCATTAAGCAACTAAATTATGAGTATGTCAGTGATGAGGAAAATGGGATTCGGGAAGACAGTGGMAAGTGGGTCGTCAGGCACCCTGCTTGGAGATCTGAAGAAGCAGACTCACTTATGGAAAGACTGCAAAGTAAAGTTGAAACTCAAAGGTCTGAAAGGCCACGAGTTTCAAGGGTTGGTGGCCTTCCATCTACCAGATGTAAGCCAAGAAACCCTGTAATGTGGGCTGTGCAGAGACAACCAAGGTAAAGTGCATGTGCAGGTATTGACTTGTATACTACATGTATTAGGAGTGTACTGTAGTTACTTTTGTTTGATACGACAATAGCAATAGATTACGACTTTTCAGACAAGGATAAATATGGAAATTTCMTCAATAGTAAAATCATACGATGAAATACACTGTGAAAAAATTTCATATCAATGTATATTATTTTCTGTCTTTCACTTAGAAATATTGTGCCAACAATTGAACGTTCGCCATCGAGGAGTCCATCTCCAGTGCAGAGGACTGGCAGGTAAGCTCCTTTAATTTCACCTGGGA